GGAATTTTCATCTCTCAAGAAAGCTCTACAAAGGAGATCTTGAAGAAGTTCAACATGCTCGATTGCAACCCCGTGAACACACCGATGGAGAGTGGGACAAAATTGTCCAAGTTTGATAAAGGAGAAAATGTGGATCCCACATTTTTCAAAATTCTTGTGGGAAGTTTGAGGTACTTGACTTGTACCAGGCCAGAGATACTCTTTGCAGTTGGAGTAGTAAGTCGCTTCATGGAAACTCCTACCTCCACCAATTTGAAAGTCACTAGAAGAATTCTTCGTTGCCTAAAAGGTACGATCGACTTTGGGTTATTTTATTCTTTTTCTAATGATTTCAACCTTATGGGATTTTGTGATAGTGATTATGCAGGAGCTATTGATGATAGAAAAAGCACAACTGGCTTTGTGTTTTTCTTGAGTGATTCTGTTATTTCTTGGAGTTCAAAGAAACAGTCCATAGTTACTCTCTCGACTTGTGAAGCCGATTATATAACAGCAACATCATGTACCTGTCATGCTATTTGGCTAAGAAGATTATTGAAGGAACTCAATTTGCCACAAATTGAAGCTACAGATATTTGTATTGATAACAAATTTGCATAGACACTCGCCAAGAATCCAGTATATCATGATCGAAGCAAGCATATAGATACAAGGTATCACTTCATCAGAGAGTGCATTGCCAAGAAAGAAGTCAAGCTCAAATATATGAAGTCTCATGATCAGGCTGTAGATATCTTTACAAAACCTCTTAAGTTTGAGGATTTTCAGAGATTGAGATCAAGTCTTGGAATGAAAAAGAAAAATCAAAATTAAGGGATAGATTTGTGGGGCTCATATTAAAGAAAAATAAAGAAGAACAATGGGAGGTGCCTAACTTTGTTGACAACTTTGTTGAAGAAAATGGGAGGTGCCTAACTTTGTTGAAAAATTATAGGACTAAATCAACAACAAGACATCTTCTTTGTAGTAGTTGAATGACATCTATTACTATAAATAGGGGCCTCCATTCTTCATTTCAATCACACCAAAATAAGAGAGACGCAATAGAAGTTAAGAGAGTAATCCATAGATTGTAGTGTGTGAGATAAATAGTGAGTGTGAGTAATATTGTAGTGAAGTGTTTTAAATAAAGAGTGTTATTTCTTTCAAGATTATAGTAGTCTTTTGACACTGCTAAGTTGTAATATTATAGTGGTTATATTGCTCCGCTCGGGTATTGTATTTTACCCATTAAAAAAATTGGTGTCGTTATTCTCTTGTGTTATTATTATTTGTCGTGGATATTATTCCTGGATGAGATTATTATTTTTCACAACAAGATACACTTAGCTCTTTGTCATCGATATGCAATTACTAAGATCTAAAACTTTCACTTCTAGAGAGTTAAAGCCATTTTTCCAGATGCTGGAGCTGCCGCACTTCTGAAATATCAGTGGAAAGATGCTACATTTGGATTCTCCAGGTATACTTTGTTAGATGAGTATTCTCTGTTAATGATTTGATCACTAGTGCTTCCTAAGTTATAAGAGTTCCTGAAATGCTTTCTCTGTCAGTGGAATACCTGAATACAGGTTCCTTTTAACTAGGACATTATAATATGATATGAATAGTAGATTGTCTAACATTTTGTTACTGTTCTTCGTGTACTTACTGGTCCAGTCTAGGTGATCGGAAGCCAGTCACTAGGGAGGATGAAATTGTTGTCATGGTAGTTCCTGATTATCAGATGCTGGGATATGTAGAAAAAATTGCATCCGATCTCTCAGATGACCCGGTACCCTTATGATTTCGGCTTTATATTTGTGTCTCTTATTTATTCAACAACTGCTATCTCTCCTTCTCTCTGTCTCTTTCCATGAACAGTTAAAGTTACTACTTAACCTCAAAGTATTTGATCTAAAAGTCATCAGTAACTGTTTATCTAAAAGTCATTATAGTACATTACTAGCTTTATTCTTGTCTGCCACAATGGAGAAGACAATACATTACTTTTTGAAACTAGTGATAACTTCTTGTGTAAATGGTGGCGGCATCATTCTTTATCACTAATTTATACGTTTTCCTTGATCTTCTTCCTCGTTACAAAAATAGATCCTACAAATATCTGGTTTTAATAATAGGAGCTACGACTACACAAGTTCTCAAAATTGTGAGGATTGGAACTTTATATAAGTTTTTGCTCTTCAAGCTTTTCAAAACAAACCTATTCCCACTATAGACAGTAGTAGCATCTAGCCAAGAGGAATACAAGTCTCAGGCTATTTGATTGCATGCTAGCATCTGTTTTTCTTGATTCTCACATGCTTAAATTGAACCTCTGTTATTCTTCAACCTTATTTTCTGTTTTTTGTTAATGGTCTGTGGTTATTTTGTTAGCCTAGGCCTCTTATCATGTGGAATCCTCGTCTGATTAGTGAGGATGTCGGAGTGGGGATCAATGTACGTAGGCTGCGGCGCAATTTCTTAAGGTAACTTTGGTTTCTCATAGGGAAGTTTTGCTTCAGTTCTGAAATTCAGTTAGTTATTGTGTGTTACAGCTCAGTCGTCCTATAAGATTTATTTATGTCATTCAGCACAAATAGGGTTCTTTATGATTTGGCTCTACTATTATATTTAGCTGATCTCTAGTGTGTTGACCAAATGTTTCTATCATATGTAGTTTTAAACTCTCATGCATGAGCAGCAATTGTTATGCCCCTTCTCCTTCATTGTCCTCGGGTTGAATATGAACTACTAATGCAAACAATGTGGTTCCTCAGGGTAACCACTGACCGCACAAGTTAGTGATTGTACAACCACCATTCATCTTCATGCCGTTGAGCAACTTCTAAGTTTCTAATAAAAATTTCTTCCCATATGATTCGTCGTTGATTAGTGGTTCTCTTCTTCAATGGAACTCCTTGTTTTATGCTCAACCTTACACCATCTTTGCTTGGGGATGTATTTTCCATCTTTTCTTGTCAATGTGAACTTGCCAAACTGTATACTATAATTTTACCATATTCTGACAGCAACAATGTATATTTTTCACTGCAGCACCTTCACCGTTGCTTACTCGATGAGACCTCTAGCATCTGGTGCTGTATTTAGATGTTATCCCGGGTAAGGATTCACCTACTTAAATCACAACACTACATGGCTTAAAGGACTGGTCTCAAGTTACCTGCTAATTTACTTATTTTCTGGTTTACTCTAGATTGTGGAAAGTGTTTTATGATGATAAGGACCGACCAAACAGATATCTTCTTGCCAAGGAACAGATCAGCCGTCCGACTACAGAAGATCTGGAGGTCTGTTGCTCCACTACTTCTCTATATTTAAGTTAGGCTGTAATGAAGTAGTAATAGTAGTTATACATTCTCTAGAAGTCTATATAGTTCTGTGAGAAATATGCAACTGGCAAGTCTTTCGTTGTTGGCTCCTGTAGCATTGTAATCCTGACCTTTTGTAATTTAACTTGTTCATAAGTTTCCCATTGAAAAACTATGATCTCTCTCTCTCTCTCTCTCTGATACTTCGTGCTGATCTTTCTCAGATAATATTTGGAGGTGTGGATGAGAAGGAAGAGAACGGTCCCTCACTGTTAGATCAAGCAGCTGGAATCTTCTCTTCTATAAACCGCTTCATGAAAGTCATTTCAAGATAGACCGTGCCATCACCTTTTAACAGAGAAACATAATGCTGAGCATTCGACTAAATCACTGTACAGTCAACACCAGGAGCCTTTCGCAATGCACTCCCTCTATCTATGAACACATTTGGATGTATTCTACAATGGATTACCAAGTACAGATTAAACGAGTGCATTCAGTTTTCGTGATCAGAGTAATCATGGTGAATTTGAAGGAACTCTTTTGCTATACATGCATGTAAACTTCATAGGACCCTTGATATAATACTATAAAGACTGATCCAGGATGAAGCAAAATGTTTGTTAACCGAATCATGCCTATCAACGACATTTTTTTGTTTAAAGAAGAAAGTGAATCTTCCAAAATAGCAGCATAACAGTTCACTTTTCATAAATCAGACAATTTGATTTGATGCTTTTATCAAATTAATTTGATTAAGTCCAAAAGGAACATATTAGTGCCAAGAGTCCATAATAGTATCGCGGGTCATGATATTACTGTCCAGTTGAGTCTTCCATATTCCCGAGACAACGTGAGAAGAATCAAACAAATTAAAATTGAAAGTTTGTTTTTCTTCAAGAGGTTAGTACAACCACCCACTACAGGGAAAATTACAAGAAGAGATACAAACTTTATCAGTTAGCATTGAATGTTACAATTTCACATAATATTGAGTATGACGATAAGCATGTAACGAAGTGAATTTTTCTAATACAATCAGTAATGTTCCATCAATCTCAAATCACACAATGTTCAAGCAAGTCAGTTGGTGCGTATCCCCAGCATCTCAGATGCTGCAGCGTGTTGTGCAGTGCAGTGCAGTACAAGATCTTTGTAACATAGCATAAGGTTGGCAGGTTTGTGACTCTAATAACATTTGCCCTATGGTCCATGTGATAACAGCTGCGTTGCTTAGCATTTTAAGTGGTAGTCTCAGTTCAACTTGCAAGTTTCTCCACACAAGGTGGTCTCCTTAGAGGATTTTCAAGATTTAGAACCAGTCTACATGTTTGGTTGAAGCCTTAGGTTGCTTCTTGAGTATTGTGCCCTCATTTCATTCACGGACTTCCAGTCTGGGAAGTGGGATCAGCATCTAACCCTTGGAAAAGGTAATGTTCATATTGAAAGAAAGCAATGTCTTCTTTCCTCGTGAGACAAATAAAAAGAAGCACCTAATGATGTGTGTTAAGGTTTTTGGCATTTTCAGCCAAAAGTAAGTATTTCCCCTATTTACCTTGAACTGGATTTTAATAGTAAACAGAGGAACTGATACATCTGGTAGGATACCTCTAAGAGAAGGGGCATTTTACTTTTGTCTGTAAATACTTTTCTTGCATTCTTGGTGCTATTTATCAATATAATTACCAATTCTCAAAAGGTATTTCCCCTATTCCCCATTTCATAATATAATTTAAAACATATTCATGGTCGCAATTCGCAACAATCAATCATGTTACATGTATATTACATTGCATTGGTCAGCCACCAGTTCACAAATGACTACCACATGCTGCACAAAAGTTCAGAGGTATCTCGCAAATCGACAGAAAATTCCTTCTCATCACTGTCCATGTAATACAGAATGAACCTATTACCTGGTACATACCCTTCATCTCTCATGTGTCTAAACAACTCCGACAAGGTAGAATAAATGATCATGGCTCTGGGATGCATTTGATCCGCAACGACGAAACTATGGACTTCCTTCTCAATCTCTATCCAGCTTGTCCCCGTCTCCTTTGCCACTCCCATTTCCTTCATTTTCCTGATGGTTCTAGCTCTATCTTTCCATCGCCCTCTAGAAGAATATATGTTTGCCAGTAGAACATATGGCACAGGATTATCAGGTGAAACCAAGACCCATTGATCAGCTGCATATTTTCCCATCTCAGCATCACCATGAATACTACAGGCACCAAGTAATGCCTGCCAAATAAGCATGTCTGGCTTTACTGGTAGCCCCTCAATGAAACTCTTGGCTTCACTTAGCAGTCCAGCTCGACCAAGCAAGTCAACTACAGCAGCATAATGCTCCATTCTTGGAGTCATCCCATAGATACTCTGCATAGATTCAAAGAATTCCATACCCTTATTTACTAGCCCAACATGACTACAAGCATGAAGCAGAGAGATGAATGTAACATCAGTTGGATCTACACCATCTGACCTCATCTCTTCGTATAACTGGAGTGCCCTATAGCCATTCCCATGACGAGCATAGGCTGCAATTATGGAATTCCAAGAGACTGAATTTTTTCGAGCTATACTATTAAAGATTTCAACAGATTCCTCCAGTTGACCACACTTGGAATACATGTTAATAAGCCCATTACTTACAAACGAATTTGAAACGAAACCTTTCTTGATGATTAACGAGTGCACTTGCTTACCAAGACCCAAAGAAGTATCGCTACCAAAGACACCAAGAACGGCTGACACTACATCAGGGTCAATGTCAACCCCTGCTTTTACCATTTTCACAAAGATCTGCAGAGCCTCTTCTTCATATCCATTTTGGGCAAACCCCACAAGCATAACTGTCATAGCAATTGTGTCAAGAACCTCCGCGGACTCAAACATCTGCCAAGCATCTTGTACACTGCCACACTTGGAATACACATCCATCAATGCACTCTTTATACACAAATCTGAATGAAACCCCAACTTCCAAACAATCCCATGAATTTGACGAGCCTCCACGAGTGCCTTGATGCCAGAACACGCCAACAGTGCACTTAAGTATGTCAAATAATTAGGTACAACGACAGCACCTTGCATCTTCGCAAGCAAATCCAAGCTTTCCTCACAAAACTCATTTTGAGCAAGACCTGAAATCACAGCTGTCCAAGAGATAACATTTCTCACAGCCATCTCAACAAAAACCTGCCTGCCCGAATTAGCATATCCGCATCGAAAATAAGAAGTAACCAATGCGTTACTAACAGATATTTCCCTCTCCATGCCGCTCAAAACAACCAACCCATGTATCATCTTGTTAAGACTAAGGAAACCACGCCCATCACAAGCTGATAAAATCGTAGTCAAACTGGCATGATCAAACTTAAAACAACCAGAACCCATCATTTCTTTGAAGTACCGAAATCCCATGTTAAAATTCCCATTATTCATAAATCCTGAAATAATTGAGTTCCATGAAACGGTATCTTTCATGGACATTTCATCAAACACTTGGGCAGCATCATCTGTCCTACCACATCTTGCATACATCGTCAGAAGAGAGTTCCAAACTACAAGCGCATTCTGGGTATTAAACTGATATCCTAAATACACAAATTGTGGGTCTTTGAGAACGAAGGCATGGATGGACGAACCAAGACGAACATTGCGTTCCCTTCCACAAGTTGAAAGGAGGAGGCTTATTCCTCGTGAGCAGGTTAGGCTCATTTTTTAGCATAGTTTAATTTTAAAACATCTAAACGGCAAATTAGATACGTTATGATCATGAAAATTGGGATAAGCTAGTTTTTATGCATGTTATTAAATTAATTCGCTAGTATCTAATATTAAACAGGGACTTCAGCAGAGGAAAAACTTTGCATTTATAAGTTTCTAAATTGTGTGAGTACTTATTAGTTTCATCATCTTTAACCAACTAACTCGTGTTCTAAGATTTTACGTCTTAACCTTTGATACGAACCCCTTAAAATTATGAAACACGAAAATGGTCTTAAAGATGAGTAAAAAGAAGCAATTCCTTATTGGCTAAATGTATAAAACGTTGCAGGTAAATCTATCGCTTAAACAATTCCATTGGAATATTATAATTGAAAGAAAGATTTATTGTGCACCTTGGCAAGAAATTAAGAGCTTAGAACTTAAACTTATTGGCAGTTCAATTTGGGTAACATGTCATTAATTAGCCATCTTGCCAACCATTTGTATGCTTCTTGTGTCAAATGAATTCCGTCCCAACTGATGTAGGCATTAGGGTCAGTACAGATTGGCACTCTAGGAGATCCACATATTTTACTTAAGTCAAAATTATAGCCTCTTCCTATTCCACAACAAGCTTTCTGTAAGGAGCTTTTGTCAAATCCTGCATTGTATTTAAATTAAGAAAGTTTTAAATGCATATACATACATATGTAGTTTGAAATTTTGTCATAATATACTTCTTTATTAGTAAGTGCATTTTAAAAATTGGCTGCAGAGAAAGAAATTGAAATAGGTGGGAAATGAATTAATTTACGGAACAAAAAGAAGAACCAATTTTTTGAGCCCTTACCAAGAGCGACGGCATTGCTTAGAAGCCACATATAGGCATTGTAGTAGTCACCATAAATCAGTGTAATTTTTGGATACCTTTTCTTCAGCTCTTGAATGGCTTGTTGCAAATGATAATTGTAGAATACTGCAAAATTATTTAGATCTTTCAAGCAATGGTGATTATCATAGGCAGTTGAGTTGTCAGTCCTGAATTTGGTTAGGTAAATTGGTAAACAACCAATTGGAAAATTGCCAGGAACTACAATTTGAGTAGCCCCAAAACCAATGACCCTCTGAAAAGAAGTAACTGATCATTAGGCGAAACAAATTTAATTTCAACCAAATAAAGGTACTCTAATAATCATGAAAGAAATTAAAGAGATATGTAACAGCAAAATACATAAACTCACTCTAACACCATGAATGATGGTCTGAACAACTTCTGGCGCCATATATCGCAACTCTTTTATAGTTTTACCTTGCAATAAGCCATGGTTGAAATCATTTCCTCCTACTTCTCCAACTAGGAAAAGAGCCTTCTTCAATTTTGCTGCGCGATCTAGCAAGAACCAGAAAAAGATCATTTAAACTTGCTCGCCATTAATTAGTTTATAGTTAGAGACTACTCTCCCTAGACCCCAGACCTCACTTGTGGGAATATATTGATTTTATTTTTGTTGTTGTTCTAGAGATTAAGCAAGTAAACATGCAACATCGTTTCCTTAGAAGTTTCTCTTCCGCATACAAAATACAAAATTGGCTGGTCCATCGAAGCTAATTGCATTCGCTTACAAAAAAGAGTATAAAATATGTATAATCTTTATATATAATACACAAAAATATATATTTTGTCGGCTATTATTTTTGAGAGTGACTAAAAATATACATTTCTCTTTGAGTAAATAAATTACCACGGGTGGATGTTTTAAAATGAGAAGACATCCAAGCAAGCTGCACACTTAATGAGCTATTGGTGGCTGCATTAACAATCTTCTTTTCTGCCATGACTTCAGCTGGTAAAGCAGTAGCTCCTGCTACTGCAAAATTCACACCATGTGTAAAATTTGCACTTTGAAGCTTGTACGGATTTAGGAGAGGTAGACCAGATCCCAAAGCTGTCAAAAGCAAAAGAAAACACATATATATATATAGCACAATCAGCCTCCACTCCCATTTAAGTTAGTAATTTGTACCTAAATACAGAAACGTGACTATACCAGCCAAACAACAAACCTCTTTTTATCTAAATTCTCTAATTAAATCAAGGACACACAAACACTGGAAGAGAATGAAGTTTTATACATACCTATGAAATCAATAATGAGCATGCCATTAGAACAACGTCCAGTTGATTTTTTCTGGGAAAAATTCATTCCATAAGGAAATCTTCCAGATCGAAGACGACGTGCACAAAGATTCTCTCTTATGCAGTTGCCTGTATCAGCAAGTGAGTCACCCAACTGATATATTTTATCAAATCCACATTTCATCAATCGTAGTGATTGAGCACTGCTTTTCTGTTGAAGAACAACGAAACTGAACATGAAAGAAATAACTAGGAGATCAAGCATTACTCTTATTGTCAATGTCATGTCCCGATTTTTTCAAAATGAAATCCAGAACTAACTGAAACTTCACATGCAATCTCGATTAACAGTTTATTAGTATATTTATTCCTGCAAATTAAAAAGCTCACGATGAAAATATTTTAATAAATAAATAATACAGTAGAATAATAATAATAATAATTGGTATACCTAAATGAAAGATAGATTTCCTTGAATGATACACTATCATTAAAAAGTATTGCGTAATAAACGATCAACAGAGTCTCTTTAGCTTTCTACCCTTTTTTCTTACTCCTATAAATAATTAATGACTTCTTTTCTTGAACTACGAAAAAATTTCCTAGAGATACAATAATCTGTATAATCTCAGCTTTTTTAATTGATTGATACTGTTGACTTCACATGGCAAAACTTTGCACACCATCACGTCGAGATTCAAGAACGAACGCTCTATACTGTTTCATCGTAATTTGTTTTAACACTGTACTAATTAATTGGAAAATTTTGCATGCGAGAGTGATTTTTTTGTTAAAAAAATAGTTTAGTGAAATTTTGGTTGTAAAAAATTGTTAAACGACTTTGGTAATACCTTGGTAATGTTGAGTAACTCTTTAGTTATAAAAAATAGTTTAATAACTTCGGTGCAAGAAAAATGAAAGTTGTATGAAATTAACGTCAAAATAGTCCCTCGAGGTTGAATTATATTTTTACTACTTGATATAAGGTAAAATAGATCACGGGGAAAATATTTAAAAAAAATAAAAACAAAATTGAATTTTGATTTTTATGCACGTATGAACTTTGGACATGAAGCCCTTAATTAATAGAATTAATTTCACTAAAGGTCATCCAACTAATTCTATATTTCACAAAAGTCACTTATTTATTTTTTATCACTTAAAAGTCACTCTACTTTACCTTTATAACTTAAAAGTCATTCTAATTCAAAACCTACAAGTATGACATGTCATTAAATTTATTAAAAATTTAATAATAATGTCACATGAGCTTAAATATACCATATCTATGTTAAACTCATTTCTTCAACCCGATTTGACCTATAACCAAAATAGGTTATTAATATTTTGACCATCTGATTTTGTGATTGATTTGCAGAAAAAGAAGTCTAGGAAATTTAGGAAAAATTAGGTCTTTTGAATTTATCTTTGGGTTTTGGTTGTACATTTACGGTCAATGGCACAATATGTTGTCTCTTTCTTTTGTCCAAACTATTGCTATAGGTTGTCTATGATTGCAGTGTGTATTGACAACTTTCACTATGCAATTTAATTGTGGGTGTTTTTCATTGAGTAATATTTTTGTCGGTTGGTATTGCATAATAAGCAACATTTTGACTTTAATGGAAAAGTAATTTGTGAAAATAGGTTCTTATTAGCTTATTGTTCTTCTCTGTTAGTGGTACATTTATATATTATGTGAGATAAATATGGTAGTATTTTATAAAATGATTGAACGATACAAAAACTGGTTCTTTGCTAGTTCTGTTCATACTTTTTTTTATGAAACTAGCTTTAATGCACGTGTATACTGAGTAGAAAAAATATGCAAAAATAAAAAATAAAAATTTTGCGTGTACCATTAAGTATGCAACTTAAATATTAGTATTAAATAATATATGTTATGAAATAAATATCAAATAAAAAGTGTAAGTTCCTCAGAATGATGTCGATCCGATTGAGCTGGCTTAATAAAAAGATAAATATTGCCCCACATACCTCAGATGTGTTGTTGTGATTTCAAGTTTTGCCTCTATGCTGAAATTATCTGGTTATCTTCTTTCTTGTAGAATTAATTAGAAAATATAAGAGATATAAAAAAATATTAATGATAAAGTTTAATTAAAAATTAATATATTTACCTTCTTTAAAAATACGTGTTTTTAACTTTCGTGCAATTGTTAGGTTTCCTTTCTTAAGTATTTTATAATTTGATGTTGAGTTAGAGTCTAATGGTAGTGGTAGTAATAGCATTTATATCTTATTGTATTAATAAAAATGTATGAGTGTTTTCGTTGAAAGGTATAATTGGTTGTTTAACTTTATAGGTCCTGTCACGACCCAAAATCCAACTAACCGTGATGACACCTAACATCACCTGCTAGGTAAGCCAAATAACAATAATCCGATTCAATTAATATTTAACTGACTTTAATACACTCCCCAAGGACTAGTAGTACAAATCATGAACTTCTAAGATTAGAATTTACAAAGCTGGTGTGAAATAAAAATACATCATCTGTTTGAAATATATATAAACAGATTAATATACATCATCTGTTTGGAGCTACCATGAACAAGAGGCAGCGATGACTGGAACACAAGTACATCTTCAGATCTAGCTCACGTCGTACGCAGCAACATCAACATCAGAAATCTGCACGCAAGGTGCAGAAGTGTAGTATGAGTACAACCGACCTCATGTACTCAATAAGCAGCAAACCTAACCTTAGGTTGAAAGTAGTGACGAGTTGAAACAAAGGTCAGCGTATAACACCAATAACCAACAACAGTTCATAATAATATAATGAAAGAAACACCAATAATAACTCAACGATAAAATGCTCAGCTCGTATACAATTCTAGAAAATAAACATTTTCTTTTCAATTATAACAGTAAAACTCAAATCCTTTACCGAAATCACCGAAAATATGAGTAAATCTGAAATCTGTGATTTTTCTCAAGAACTTTAACAACAGATAAGAAATTTCATTATCAGATGGCATGAGGAAAAATACTTCACTATGCTTACATATCAAGTATGCATGTCTAATGCAATACAGCATAATGATGATCTTATGTACTCACACTCTTAGAGTATTCAATCACTCAGTACTGTATATGGCCAATCCAGCCCAGAAAAAATCCATCCCATATATATATATATACACATAATAACTGACATTCAGTCACTTAGTACTGTACATGGCCAATCCAGCCCAAGGAATTTCATCCCAAATAAAATAAATGATTCAGGCAAGATTAATGCCCAGGAAAATTATAAATAAATAAGGCAACTCCATGCCCTAGGAAGTCCATCCCAAATATAAATAAATAAGGCAACTCCATGCCCTAGGAAGTCCATCCCAAATATCATATCATCTTCGCTCACTGTGGAGGGTGCAGACTCCAGAGGGGCTCCTTTAGCCCAAGTGCTATATAAAGCCGATATGGCCTACTGCGGCGTGCAGTCCGATCCCATAATAATAAAGCCTATAAGGCATTCTGCGACGTGTAACCCTGATCCATATAATAATAAAGCCTATAAGGCCTGCTGCGGCATGCAGCCCCGATCCATAAAATAAAATATATATAAAGTCAATATGCTTTGCTGCGGCGTACAGCTCGATTCCATAAATATCACTCTCAATTAGGCCCTCAGCCTCACTCAGTCATCAATCTCTCTAGTCTCTCGGGCTCACAATATCATGAAACTAGCCCAAAATGATGATATGGTGTATTAATAAATAACAACTGAGATTGAGAGATGATATGAAATGAATGAACATGACTGTGTATGAAATTACAATTGAAAGAAATAATTCAACAGTAATACGACCTCTATGGGTATCAATAATACCGGCATATAGCCCCAACATGATTTTTAACATGATTCTCAGCTCAATTTCTGTAACACGTGAAAGTACATGGAAATGCCAAGATTATTTGACTACACAATTTCACGTAATCAATTACGTCACAATTTATACGGTGCAAACCCACACGCCCGTCACCTAGCATGTGCGTCACCTCCAAACAAATCACATAACACGTATATTCAGCCCCAAGTTTAGAAATATTACTTATCTCGAACAAGCCGAATCCAATGTCGAGCAAGATAAACAATTCTCCGAAAATTCCATTCCGCGCGAATCAACCTCCGAACGCCTTCATATTTCCTCAATTCCAAGCCAAACGATTCGAAACTAGTCAAACAACGTGCAAATTAATCAAAATATACTCCAATGCTTACAATTTAATAATTTATAAAAATTCCCAACTCCGCTCGAAAAGTCGGCAGTAGAGCGCACGTCTCGGAATCCGATGAAACTCACAAAATCCGATAACTCATTCATTCACGAGTCCAACCATACAAAAATTCNGCCACACCAGACAGGGAAAAGGAGGATTAGATATTTCGTCAACCACCACTTGAGCGCGATTCGCTTATCTGTTGAAAAGTACCATCCAGACAGTAAACCTTTAGGGCATATGACTAGTAAGGTAAATCAACCTATCGTATCGACGAGATGCAAGAAGAAGAAAATTAGCAGACTATGAAAGAAAAAGAATTTCTTCTCATCTACCTTTGTCTCAATCATGGGCGATTGAAGCGAATACAATAAAAGAATGCAAGGAAGGGTTCCCCCAGCAAAGGCATCTCGACTGCTTCCAAAATCAGGTCATCGACCAGTAATGCGACTTGTAGAAGACTCCCTACCTATACCTAGCGGAGTTGGCACTAAACTAATAAGGAGAGCAGAAAGCAGCTAGCCTTACTCAAATTCGACCATAACTCGGCCTTCAAATCCTCAATTAAAGTCTATAAAATTTTCTACCATTTTCAACCCAAAACACTAATTTAATGATAAAAATAACAATATATTCATGTAATTTAACCAAAACCGAGTTAGAATCACTTACTCCAATTCATATGATGAAAATCGCATAAAAATCGCTTAAATCCGAGCTCCATAGCTCTAAATATGTTAAAATGGCCGAAACCTCGAAATATAGCTTCTGTCCAGGCATTTACTCTTCGCAATCGCGAAACACAAAATTTTTCAGCCTAAAATTTGTCCTTCGCGATCACGAAAAACCAATCGCGATCACGAAGAATAAACTCCCCAACTCTACCAGACAATCTCTAGTATAATGGTCATAACTTTTTGTACAAAACTTCAAATGATAAATGGTTTAATTTTTGGAAAACTAGACATGGACTATAACTTTTATTTTCGGATCATCTCCAAATTTCTTATAGATTGTGAGATATAAGCTTTTAAAGTCAGGTAAGTGCAATAGAAA